CTCTAAGCTTTACTTCATTTATTTGAAAGGTAAGTACATCAAAGCATTCAAAGCAAACAAGTAATATTATTTTATCCTTTAAACTTTCAAGTCTAAAGGATAAAATAATATTTCTATGTGTTGTGTGTGGAATATGACTACTTACTAATTGAAGAAATAAGCACAATATGATTTTACTGTAATCTATAATCATATCGGATTAAACAATGACTGAATGATGAATAATCGCATGCAATAAACAAAAATGAAAGTTTTATTATTAAACCTTGAGAGCTTAGCAGAAAAATAAATAATAACTATCTTAATATTACATGACATATCAAACATAATATTATAATTGAAAGTGAATTTATTTTATCGATAACATTGTTGCTGTCCTAGGAATTTGCAGTTACTATTTTTATAAAAGTTACTATAGCTTTATCTAACTTAAAATCAACATAAAAGGTAGTAGGTACCTACTTACCTAACGGGTTTTTTCAATGATATTGATTGTTTTGTATTTTGTTTTGCAATTTTTTGCAAAAAAACATCTGTCCTATTTTTTGTGTGATTATTTGTCTGCATATCAAAATTGTTTGTTTCCTTAATATAAATAAATAAACAAATAAATGTCACAATAACTGTAAAAAATACTAAAAATAGAATGTAGGCAGGAAGTAGCACTTGCTATATGAATTACACAGTTGAAATATTATTTTCTAGGTAGGTATTTAATTTATTTAATTTATCCGGCTGACATTTTCAGTAGTAGCTTTTAGGAAATTAGAAAGGTAAATAAGAATATCCATACTCGTAGGTACTACATACTTTTAAGTAATATAAGGCTTTTGGTATTATTCTAAAATTAATTAGAAGCAAATTATTTTTGATTTCCTTTCGTAAATTTTATTTTAATATTCTCTTTCGACTATTTCAGAAAAAAAATAAGCAAAAATATTTTTTTATTAAAAAATACTTATCAAAAAGTGGGTGTCGAGGTGAGATAAACATGTCTGCTGTGCTTCGACTCGGTGGTAGGGTGTTATGAACGAGAACGTTCTGCTATTTCCAACTGTTTCCAGCTTGGCCGCTGAAAGCAGCCCATCTGATCGACCGCCAACTTGTAGCACCAGCTTGGCGAACTGGCTAACCACGAGCCTGCTGACCCCCGAACGTCGTACTTCATCCGTTTTACTTATGCGACCGGACGGCTAAAACTTCAATACCGCGATGCAGGTTTGATGGGTGACTCAGCCTGTTTACGCTGCGTAGCGTGTATCACGCGGGACAACGCACGCCACTATAGCAATAGGAGATTCCTTGAATTCAATAGGAAACCTAAACTTTTCTAAAATTATTCACTAAAATTCAACCTTAGATATTTTAAAAAGGAATCAAAAAGAAATAAAACATGTATAGTTTGGTACGGTACAAGTATTAATAAATAATTTTGGAGGCTATATTCAAACTTAGTCCAACCTTTGACAGGTGATACGCTTACCACCAAAACAAAAAATAATGTTATTATAAAAAGATCAAAAAGTGGGTGTCGAGGTGAGATAAACATGTCTGCTTTGCTTCGACTCGGTGGTAGGGTGTTATGAACGAGAACGTTCTGCTGTTTCCAGCTGTTTCCAGCTTGGCCGCTGAAAGCAGCCCATCTGATCGACCGCCAACTTATAGCACCAGCTTGGCGAACTGGCTTACCACGAGCCTGCTGACCCCCGAACGTCGTACTTCACCCGTTATACTTATGCGACCGGACAGCTAAAACTTCAATACCGCGATGCAGGTTTGAAGGGTGACTCAGCCTGTTTACGCTGCGTAGCGTGTGCTCGTACTTGTATCACGCGAGACAACGCACGCCAATACCCAGCGTTTAGGAGATTCTTTGAGTTGTTTATAAGAAACACCATCTTTTGTTATTTTTATTTTATTATTCAGTATGATTTAAGCTTGGAACAATTAAAGAAGAATTAAAGTAGAAAAAAACATGACAGTAGGTATAGTAGGTATGAGGTAAATAAAATAATTTCGGAGGAAATATTATATTTAAAGTTAATCAGTAAGCATGACGTGACTTACTACCAAAACATTTTTTTTTAAATTTTGTTGTAGATAATATATTTTGTATTTAAAAAAAGACAAAAAGTGGGTGTCGAGGTGAGATTAACATGTCTGCTTTGCTTCGACTCGGTGGTAGGGTGTTATGAACGACAACGTTCTGCCATTTGCACTCCACAATTTGTTTAACTGCCAACTTATAGCACCAGCTTGGCGAACTGGCTTACCACGAGACTGCTGACCCCCGAGAGTGATACTTTAACTATTTTACTTATGCGACCGGACGGCTAAAACTTCACTACCGCGATGCAAGTTTGAAGTGTGACTCACGCTTGCTTGCGTCGCGCAACTTGTATTCGTATCATAGGATAGCTCAGCGCAGTTTGTGCTATTGCTAATATCACTTACAGAGAAATTCTTCGAGTTACATTAATAAAAAAATTGGAAACCTAATTCCTAATCCCAACTTCCCAACTAATATTATAAATGCGAAAGTAACTCTGTCTGTCTGTCTGTCTGTTACGCTTTCCCGCTTAAACCTCGCAACCGATTTTGATGAAATTTGGCATAGAGATAGTTTGAGTCCCGGGAAAGAACATAGGATAGTTTTTATCCCGGTTTTTGAAACAGGGACGCGCGCGATAAAGTTTTTCTGTGACAGACAAAATTCCACGCGGGCGAAGCCGCGGGCGGAAAGCTAGTTTAAAATATTTTGAGTTAAATAAAGCTTGGAACTCCTAAAAAGGAACAAAATAAAAATATCAATAAAATGATGCGTTTATGTGGCAGATAATCATCTATACTATTATTATAAATGCGAAAGTAACTCTGTCTGTCTGTCTTGCTTTCACGCCTAAACCACTGAACCGATATTGATGAAATTTGGCATAGAGATAGTTTGAGTCTCAGAAAAGGATATAGGATAGTTTTTATCCCTGTTTTTTAAACAGGGACGCGCGCAATAAAATGTTTCTATGACAGACAAAATTCCACGCGGGCGAAGCCGCGGGCGGAAAGTTAGTGTAATAATTTCGGAGGAATGCTTCCTTTTCTTATATTATATATTATAAATAATTAGGTAATTTAGAAATTGACTTAAACTAATTATTAGAGATGGGCCGACTAGTCGCCGACTAGTCGGGAAAGCCGACTATTCGGCGTCATTTATAGTCGGCCGATTAGTGACGACTATTCAGCAAAATATGCCGATTATAATCGGCGCATTACAAAATTAAATATGTGAATGAAATAAACTCATAATCACCAAGATAATTATGAGGTAGACCACGGGCGTTTATGTAAACCACTTTTGACTGCAAAAAATCAGTAAAATTGGTTCACCTGATTTAAAATTTTGGCAATCAGTCTAAATTTATATAAAGTTAAGATTAGTTAAAATTACCAGTAAATCATCAAAAATGTGTTAAGTTGATGTAATTTAAAAAAAAACCAGGGTCGTGGCCTTCCCCACCGTGGGTCACGGCATAGGCTGAGTGGAGTCCCATTGCGATGGGCATCGCTGTTGCAACAGGGTGGCACTGCTCAGTTCACTTTTTATTTCCTTGTAATATTTATTTGCTATTTCTGTCTTCTTTCCGTATACTTTCTTTGTTCTCTGAGTGAAATAAATATTTCGTTCTTTCTTCTTCGACACTTTTTTTCGGGGAAAATGCATGGAATTGCATACCTATCCTGCGGGGAAGTGGTTTGGTGGAAAGATTATGTGGGGCTCCTCTCATCGGAATGATGAGGAATACCCACATAAATAACCCCCGAGATCGCCTTCGGGGGTACCCCACGCCCCCAGCTCGCTGACCATCACCGTGGAGGGTGGAGAGGAATCAGTGGGCCTAGGATGCGTGCCGCGATAAGTGCAATTTTGCCTATACATTTTGACGTCGATAAATAAGAATAATATCACGGCGCGTATCCTAGCCCAGCAGGAGCACGCAGGAGGCAATCATGTTTTCACCTCCTCTAACCCCTCCGCCGTCGAAAATTATGACTACCTTAGGTGCTTTTAGGTGATTGTAATGTTGCTTTTTATTTTTTCTCTTATTAAAGAAATCTGATTTCTCAAGAACTTATATTTATCTCTTTAGAAATCTAGATATTCATATTTCTTTGAGAAAATCTAGATATTATTCTTTGGACAAGTAGGTATTAGAATGATCGGCATTGCCGATTAGTCGGCCGACTAATCGGCAATTTGAAAACCGATTAGTCGGCTAGTCGGTTAGTCGGCAAAGACCATAGTCGGCCCATCACTACTAATTATAAATTTGTTAGTACCTAGTTATTTGAAACAAAAGACATCAAATGTTAATGACTGATTTATGAGTTTTTGTTTCAAGTTTTTTATCTTATCAACCAGAGGTAAGTCAATGTTATCAAATCACCGCGACATTGTAGTGAGGGGAAGTCCGAATAAAAAATAAAAAGCGTATTAAAAAATATAATCAATATTTCAAAAACTAAAGCTGAGTTGCACCACCTAACTTTAACGGTAACTACGACGATAACCGGTGCTTTTGTATGGAGTTTGACAGATTCTTGATGTTTGTCAAAGTTAAAGTAAGATGGTGCAACCCAGCCTAACACTAGAGCACAAACTAAAAGTAAGAAAATGGTTTTGGCCGATGACGACGCGAGTGTATAGTGATAAAAAAGTTAAGTTAAGAAAGTAAGTAGATAAAAAGTCGATGTTTATGCTATTTTACATTTAGCGCAGTGTTTATTTTTTGTCATGGGTAAGACGGATACAGGTAAATATAATAATAAAATAATGTACATTTCATTTACCTGCCCCACAGTCACCATCCTACACCCCATTTAAGCGAGTTCCCTAACTAAAAAAAATTGTTCGGATGAGCTAGCATGCGGCATGTAAATAAATAGTGCCTATTTAGACTATGGAACCTTAAATTAACTCGGTTGTATATTATTATGAGTCACCATGATGAGTACGATAATATTTTACGACAATCACAATAAATCCTATGTTTTTTGCTCTTGCAGTTTCAACCCTATTGACTTTGCGATAAGACGAAAATAAATCCATAAATGTATGTATTACATTCGCTAAAATCATCAGCCACGCAATATTTAGACGATTACTTTATAGATAATCACTGCGGATATACATAGCATGGACAAAATAATCAATAACCAAACAACGATAAGATAATGTCAGTTTACTGTTCGCCATTTGGAAATAGAAGTCCATGAAGTTACAATAGTGATTATTGTGAAAATACATTTGCAAAGGCGAAAATGGTTGATGAGGTTAAACCTGACAATAATGTAAGAAGACATATCTTCAGGCTGCACGAGAGAATACAAAATAAGTACATTGAAATGCAGAAGAAATTGGAAAAATCCCGATCAGTAGGATCAATATCAAATTTGAGTGATGATTTTAGTTACAAAGAGTCAATATATTCTAGTGAATTAGATATCAGAGAGACAGAAGATGAAGTGTTTCGGTGTGAAAGTTCATACGTGACACAAACTGTAACTGTAGAAGAAATCCGCAGAAGTAGTGCTATTCCTCACGAAATTGAGTACATTGAAGCTACATTTGCAGAAATCGAAAATGAAAGTTCAGTTACAGAACATGATGAAGAAGAAATATTGGAAGACAAATCCTTGGAAAAGCCTGGACGAAATTATATCGAAATACATAAGAGTAACTCCAGTGTCGGGAGCATGGAATCGTAAGTAAAGATATAAAAAAAAAGGTTTTCGTAACTTAAGTAAAGTTATTAAAATAAAAATCGCGTTGATAGCTTAGTATCTTGAGTGCAAAGATTGCTGGATTTACAATACCCAGTTGTCTAATCGTTAATCTTACTTTAAAAGTTACTAGTACTTGTCCGATACATCAGTTTGCGCATCTGATAGATAAAATTTAAGTGGAATTGTATTCAAAAGTGAAAAAATAAAGGGTTTTTTTCATACTATGACAATACATTTAAGTAAGTATTATGATTATACTAAAAATGTTTTAGATTGAATGAAATTGGTAAAGACAAAGAAATTCATCCTCACCGGACAATTCGACAAAGAATCAATTCACGTCTCAATGCTGCCAAAGAAAAAAGGAAAAGGGAAGAGAAAGAAAAAGTAATAAAGGAAAATTTGAAAAAAGAGGTAATTCTTATAAACAGTTACTTATCCAAAAATTTGTACAATAATACTCGTAGATCTAATGAAACACAAAGCTTCTGACGTGTGCATCGCCTGGCGCGAACGCAGGTAGCCTCATTTTTTGATGCAATTTTAACAGTTGTAAATTGTGAATTTGTGATAGCTAAAAGATTTAAATTACAAAGGCATAGACAGATACCTACTGAATTAGCTCCTGTCCTGTACTATTGAGTTTATGAGCAAAATGATTGTATCAGAAAAACTTGGTAAAATGTGTTAGAATTATTGCAAGTATCTTCTTGGCCGAAATCCCGATAATATTTTAGTGATATATTTTGAAAAAATGATTTTATTATTATTATTGGATATAATTTCAGTTAATGCTAAACACAAAACAAGAAATCAAAATTAACAGAAAAAACAAACTGGCGACTGTGAGCGTAGCTTTAATAGAAGCGACTGGACTCGAGGGCACAGCTGACGAAAAGTCACGTCTTCTAAATTGCAGACTTAGGTAAGACTACAATTACAATTAGTAAATATGGGTGTAAATTCTTTCGTTTCGTTCGTTCGTTTTCGAAAAAACTCAATAGTAGTCCTACATTAAAATAATAATAATTTATGTGGCTAGTAAAATTCATACAAGGATTATTTTTCATTTTTTAGTTTTGTTGTTACAGGTTAGGTCCCGAAAAAGTAAAAACTAAAACCATCAAATCAAATAAGTCAGTAGTGAAATGGCAGGAGCTATTCAACATCAACATGTATGACGATCTCATGCTCGAAGTTTCAGTGTTTGACAAAGACACTTTCATAGGCAGGTAACCAAAACTGTTCAGTTAATTTTATTTATATTTAGTACAGTCATCGGCACTTTAGAATAAACATTTCTTGTTCCAAATCGGATACAGTCACGAACTATTCGTGACACCCAAAGTAGCCTAAAAGTTCGCAACACGTCTTTGTTACAATTGGAATAAAGTGTGTTGTCAACTATTTGGTCACTTTGGGTGTCACGGACTATTTGACGCTGACTGTACAACCACATAAGATGCCAAAAGCTCCAAAATTACTAAGGAGATAATTTATTATTTGCCTCTAGTAAAAGTCATAAACATCACTTTATACTCAAACTACTCTTTTCTTATAAATTTTCCGCATTTTCCAGACACATGCTAGATTTATCCGACGTAGAAAGGGAAAAGACGCATAAAATGCGATTAGATCTGGAAGGCAGCGATATAACTGGCGTACAGATATTTATACTGCTCACTATCTCTGGCATATCCTCGCATAATTCTCTGTGGGAAATCGAAGATCTGGAGTCGAGAAAGAATTTGCATAGACAGAGAGATGTACGTATCCAAACTTTATTACACTTACTGATACAGAGTAGGAGGTACCTACCTATCTATATTCAAAATATGCGAATAAACTCTTTGAGCTTTTATAAACTAAGTACTAGTGATGGGCCGACTATGGTCTTTGCCGACTAACCGACTAGCCGACTAATCGGTTTTCAAATTACCGATTAGTCGGCCGACTAATCGGCAATGCCGATCATTCTAATACCTACTTGTCCACAGAATAATATCTAGATTTTCTCAAAGAAATATGAATATCTAGATTTCTAAAGAGATAAATATAAGTTCTTGAGAAATCAGATTTCTTTAATAAGAGAAAAAATAAAAAGCAACATTACAATCACCTAAAAGCACCTAAGGTAGTCATAATTTTCGACGGCGGAGGGGTTAGAGGAGGTGAAAACATGATTGCCTCCTGCGTGCTCCTGCTGGGCTAGGATACGCGCCGTGATATTATTCTTATTTATCGACGTCAAAATGTATAGGCAAAATTGCACTTATCGCGGCACGCATCCTAGGCCCACTGATTCCTCTCCACCCTCCACGGTGATGGTCAGCGAGCTGGGGGCGTGGGGTACCCCCGAAGGCGATCTCGGGGGTTATTTATGTGGGTATTCCTCATCATTCCGATGAGAGGAGCCCCACATAATCTTTCCACCAAACCACTTCCCCGCAGGATAGGTATGCAATTCCATGCATTTTCCCCGAAAAAAAGTGTCGAAGAAGAAAGAACGAAATATTTATTTCACTCAGAGAACAAAGAAAGTATACGGAAAGAAGACAGAAATAGCAAATAAATATTACAAGGAAATAAAAAGTGAACTGAGCAGTGCCACCCTGTTGCAACAGCGATGCCCATCGCAATGGGACTCCACTCAGCCTATGCCGTGACCCACGGTGGGGAAGGCCACGACCCTGGTTTTTTTTTAAATTACATCAACTTAACACATTTTTGATGATTTACTGGTAATTTTAACTAATCTTAACTTTATATAAATTTAGACTGATTGCCAAAATTTTAAATCAGGTGAACCAATTTTACTGATTTTTTGCAGTCAAAAGTGGTTTACATAAACGCCCGTGGTCTACCTCATAATTATCTTGGTGATTATGAGTTTATTTCATTCACATATTTAATTTTGTAATGCGCCGATTATAATCGGCATATTTTGCTGAATAGTCGTCACTAATCGGCCGACTATAAATGACGCCGAATAGTCGGCTTTCCCGACTAGTCGGCGACTAGTCGGCCCATCTCTACTAAGTACTTATCATAATGAATACTTATGGCAAGATACAAAATTATTTTATGAATATTATAATGATTTTTCATTGGAATGATTGCTTTTGGAAATCTAAATTATAATCAGGTTACTTGAATAAGAACTTTATAATTGCAAAGAATTTTTTAGGAGCTTTTAAGGTTTAAGTTGAATAATTTTGATTACTAACCGACCACTATAATTATTCTGATTTTACCACATTCACCACTTGCCACATTGTGGTCAAATACCTGCCTTGTTATGCATAAAAAAAAACATTATTTCATTGATTCTGAAACAGAGGTGGAATTGTGTAAAGCAATCGTAATCATTTGACAGTTCATAACGTACGATAAAGTCAGTTAAACAAAGCGTTTGACAGAATAATCGTACGTTATGAACTCTCAAATGATTACGATTGCTTTGCACAATTCCACCTCAGATGTATTGAACCCTATATCGTATAACCATCATTATGACCTAATTATGTCATGTTTCAGTCATGGTATAGCTTAGAAGGCGACTTTTCTGATGTGGGTCGCCTTTTAGTCATAGTCTATGGAGCCAAAGGCCTGATATCGCAAGAATGCTACTGTGTCCTGAAATTGGGCAACGAAAGACTACAGACTCACACGGAATACAAAACTTACGACCCTAACTGGATGAAGTTGTTCACATTGTAAGATATTACAATAATATTTATTGCGTCATCATCATCATCAGATCATTTCAGTCTCAACTACAGAAATACGACCCACTCCAATTTACCAGAAGCAAATGGAGGATTTGGCCAACCTATTTAGTCGCCTCTTACAATATAGCCGGGAAAATTAGTGGTGGGCTTTACCACTCTGCTTCCACCACACGACTAACACGAATTCATTAAGTAATATTCATTAAAATGTAATATTGTTATGGATGGGCAAAAATAACTAAGCATGCGCCATCAACCATTTTTTCCATGTTGAAGTTAGTCAATCATTATTATTTTCTTTCAGTGATCTGAATGATATTACATCAATACTAGAAGTGACAGTGTATGAAGAAAAAAAGTCTGAAGAAGTCGGCAAAGTCTCAATACCTCTTCTAAAAATACACAGCGGAGAAAAGGTGTGGTACGCACTCAAAGACAGCAATCAAAGAGACAGGGCTAAAGGTCAAAACCCTAGGATATTGCTAGAAATGTGTTCTTCGTGGAATTTGGTAAGTTATAAAAGTCTTTACTCACATTCCCGAGAATCTTCTCTGAGGGCATTTGTGTAGGCGTCTGATTCATTGAAGCAGAACATTGAGCCTACAAAAATATATTTGCGTATTTTACGAATAAAGATTTATTAAGGCAGTCGTCAGTTTTGGGTTCGAATCTCGAAAGGAAAAAATTAAATGTTTGGTGCTTCGACTGAGAGTTATTTGAAAATACAAAGCAGGGCAAAGTGCACGCAGCAACCTACCTATTTGATTTTACCCTATTTATCAGTCTCGAGCAATTAACGAAATAATCCCATTTTTTATTTCCGGTATCTTAAGTAAAGTGATTGTCAGACCAAACATTTAGGATGACTTGCACCATCTTACTTTAACAGTAACATACATATAACATTAACCGGTGTTTTTTGTTTAGAACTTTAGTATTTGACAGAATTTTGACGTTTGTTAAAGTTAAAGTATGATGGTGCAATCCAGCCGTTTGTTTTCTAATTAGTTGATTTTTTTCCTCTCATTATAATAATGGTACCAAATCTCTTCCTTTCCTAATAAAACTCAATACAATAACGTTACTAAAATTACAGCTGAAAGCATCGCTACGAGTTATAAATCCCAAGGAAGCATACCTCTTAGAAACCGAAGAAAAGTTGGACAGACGAGTATTCGCAAGGAACCTGTCAAGAGCGAAGGCCGTCATAAAATGGACTTTAGACGCCCTGAAAGTAATCAAGTAAGTAATTTCCAGTCCTAAGTGTATTCCTGCCATGTTCATTTCTTTACCAAATAATTTTACTAAAAGCCTCCCGATATTGAAATGAATGATTGACTGAGCCTACATTGATTTTTACTTTAAGAGTGCTTTTCCAAGAGCACCCAATATAAACTGGGTTCTTTTTGACGTTAAAGAAAAATATTTATTCCGGCCGAAAAACATGATAGGTAATGGATTTTAAATAATCTTTACCTATTCTCATAATAATATCATTATGTAATAATGTATGATTATGGTCAGGACTAAAATGATTATTTATTATACATCTATGGGTTTTTTTGTAGTTTTACTTGTAATTATTTAAAAAATCTAACATTACAGAACGTGTTTTGAGTGGGAATCAAGGAAATCCAATGCCATAGCATTGTTTATTTGGACTATATTCTGCTGGAACTTCAGGGTGTGGATGACCCCTTTGCTCCTTCTGATACCTTTCGTAAAATATAGACCACAAAAATACTATCTAGTCAATTGTAAGTACTATGCTAATAGTTTACTTTATTACTTGCACGTAATATATAAGTTAATTTGATCTACATCTACGATATGTAATCTTTATAGCCGATTTATTTTTCAGGGAGAAAATATTTTCTAAAAGGACCTAAAGTAGTTGAAATCGTCAAACTTGAAAAGGTAAAATACTTAAACCTACGCTTACAATGAAATAAATAAAAATGACAAATATTTTTCGATTTAGACCAATAGGGATTTGGCACTTATGAATGTTGACCTAAATACAAGTTACAGACCAATATATTTTATGTTTCTAGGAAGAAAAGTCGTCGTTGATACAAAAGTTGAACAGCTTACAGGAAATGATACAGTCCGTACAAAATGGTATTGGAAAAGTCGCGAGCCTTGGGGAGAGTATTAAAAAGTAAATAATGTTTTATTAACTTCTAAGTTGACCGACTTTTTTGAAAGTTCTACAAATTGATTTGGTCTAAAAACGGAGGTTTGACCTTTACATTTTCATGTTATAATAATAAGGCCTCAAGACGATACTATAATAAGATTATTATTACGATTTGCAGTAATAGAATTATTCCTAACATTGACGATGATTTCAATATTTTTTTATCTCAAATACATCATCATCATCATTTCAGCCACAGGACGTCCACTGCTGAACATAGGCCTCCCCCAATGACTTCCACATCGCACGGTTGGTAGTGGCCTGCATCTAGCGCCTTCCTGCTACCTTTATCAGGTCGTCGGTCCACCTTGTGGGTGGACGTCTCACGCTGCGTTTTCCGCAATCTCAAATACAATACAGTAAAATAAGATTAGTGGTAGGTGCTTTTAATAAAATTGCTCTGAAATTTATATTTTTAATTCACTTGTTTCAGTTTATGTAACTTCACGGTACCTTACGTGAGTTTCCTGGCAATATTCTTTATTCTGATGATATCGCTGTTCATGTTTATAATACCGCTTAAATACATCTTCATTGGCTGGGGTAAGTTCTTAATCCATTAACTTATTTTAATAATTTACTTTAAACCGGAATTTTCTTATCAATATTATGTAATAACTGGACATTTAAACAATTTGTGATACTGAAAGGATAATCCGTTTAAATTAATGGCGTCATTGAGTTATGTCACAATTTTAGCAAAATGTGCCTCTATTAAGTAGATACTGAAATATCACAAAAACCTAATAGCAAGCAAGTTTAGTAGAAAAATAAAGTTTAAGTCATAACAGTCACGGAGTGTGCTCAATGCACACAATTTATCATTAATAGAGTTAATGTTTTCCATGACCCATTGACATCTTATTCGCCCTTATAATCAATATTAAATTATAGTCCTACCATGACTGTTGATAACTTAATAACCACAACATTAAGAATGATACAAAAGTATTTGTTTGAAGCGCGATATTTGATTTCAACAGTTATACTCATATTAATAAGTACACTAATAGCACTAATTTGTATGGCCTAACTAAATAAATGAAATACTTACCTACAGCTGCGATAGTAAGTCAGTCAACCTGTATGTTTATTTATAAGTAGGTATGTACTGGCACAATAGGTGCAACCCCCTGAACTAATTTTATAAATTTTGATAATATAGATCAGTGGTTCTTAACCGGTGGTCCGCGGACCACTGGTGGTCCCTGGAAGCATTTCTAGTGGTCCACGAAGTGCACTTGCACACCTTGGTCAAAACCACTTTTAACTGATTTTTGCAGTCAAACTGGTTTTGACCGATTATGAGGTGGTCTCTGACAAGATAGAAATTTGGTAAAATGGTCCCTCATGACTTAAAGGTTAAGAACCACTGATATAGATAGAGATTGTACACAGAGTACAGGAGACGTAAATTCTATTAATTAATAACAATTTTAATGATACAAAAAGCGAAAAACCTTACTATTAATCCATTCTAAACATTTTTCTTAACAAGAAAGAAGTCTATAACAATTATGAACCTAATATTTTATGAAAAATGTTTTATACAACGTAAAATAACATCAGCCCTGAAAAATATTAATAAGTCTTCATTGTATTGGATCCTCGATGAAATGAAAACTCAATCCCCGACATTTATAAAAGAAAATGAAAATCGAAAGACTTATCGCATTACGTTCTAAGTACCGGAAAGTGTATTTAAAAAATAATATAAAAAAAGATACAATATTTATGAGTAATATGTGATGTCTACTGAGAATTTTGCTGTTCCTATCCGATTGTAATAAAATATGTAGGTATGATATAATCCTTTATTTTCTATAGCTATCTACAAGTTTTTTCTGTGCCACATTCGGGCTATGTTGCACCATCTTACTTAATTAACTATAACTAACGGCAAAAGTCTGTCAAACTCCATCCAAAAAAACACGGGTTAAGGTTCGACCAAACCAACGCGTGCAGCAATGGCGATCGCGATGTCGATGGCGATACTACTGAACTATTTTCTACTGATCGCCATCGCCATTGCCATTGTGCACGCATGCTGATCGCGTTGGTTTAGCCGAACCCTTATAGTTAAAGAAAGGTGGTGCAACTCAGCCTTAGTCAATAAAAATTAATAAGTCATTGAAAAACCACCCTTATTCCAACGAATTAAGACGTTAATGCACCGTAATCTGCCAAATAATTACATAACAAGCCTTTACCTGGTTATAAATTTGTCTCCAGGTATACACAAGTTTACAAGGAAGATCCTGCGACCGAACAGAATACCAAACAGCGAGATATTGGATTTGCTCTCCCGAGTGCCGGACGATGAGACGTTGGTAAGAACCTTTGTAATTGTTGAGTCAGCAGTATTGCAGTAGATAAGTATAACTTACAGATATACTCGTAGTTTCCAAATGTCAGTTAGTTCCGCTATGCACCAGTTCCGCAATGCACCGGTTCCGCAATGCACCAGTTCCGCAGTGCACCAGTTCCCCTATGCACCACTCTTAAAATATTATACCTGCGAAAAGGTATGCCATGGCAATGTACCACATTATTTGTAGTGCATAGCGGAACTAACTAAAGAACTACCCCTTCAAATAAGACACAGGGAAGCTGTTGTTGTTACTGTGCAATTCGTGAAGAGCAATATCTTGAGATGAAAATACTTACCTACATCAATCTCACCACAGCTTTTGATAAGCTTATTTTTAAAGAGTTGCACCACCTAACTTTAACGGTAACTATGACGATAATCAGTGCATTTTTAAAGGAATTTGACAGATTTTTGACGTTTGTCAAAGTCAAAGTAAGATGGTGCAACCCAGCCTTAGGCTGAGTTGCACCACCTAACTTTGACCGTAACTTTGACGATAACCGGTGTATTTTGTATGGAGTTTGACTTTTTGACACGTTTTTCAAAGTTAAAGTAAGATGGTGCAACCCAGCCTTAATGACTCAAAACATACCTATGTACCTACTCTATACAACATCATTTAAAAGTATAAAAAAAATACTTACCGAATTGAGAACCTCCTTCTCTAAAAATAAAGCATTCTGTTAAATTTCATAAAAATTTAATCCTTCCGTTCTTATTCCAGCTTGATTGTGAAGAATTACCATTGGAAATTACTCCCGAAGAAGATGAGACTAAAATATCGTAGTTAGTTATGTGTAATGTATAAAAGTTTTATTATTTTACCGTAAGTGATATCAGATCTGTTAATATAAAAATATGTAAGTATACCTAGTGTATTAACGATATATTTAATAACGACTTTATAAAGATTTTCTTTTAACTAATACTTTATGTAAGCGGCCAAAATAATAGATATTAAGAAATGAACATGGTACTTAAGTAATAAGATAGCTAATTGAAATGCCAGGACAATATTTTTTTACAATAATATTTTAAATCCATTGTTGACTTGTGTATTAAATTAATTACTTGTTAAACGGTCTAATTACTTTAATTTAAATAATGTCACTTTCACTCTATTTTCAGAAGTCTTACCAACCATGAAACTTCTTTAATGTCATCTACGTGACCTATAAAGTTTTTTTGAAAACTTTAACAGCACTAATCAATCATTACACGCTATGTGCGTTTGTTTTGCAATATCGAAATGTCACTTTAGACTTGTTGGTATTGAGTGCATTACCCATTCATTCAAAGCCTAAACATATTCCCCAAGGCCCGCTACATCCCTTATTACAGCTGCACCGCATATTGATGGATGAACGGCACTAATCCGACTCGGTTAGTTTGCATCCCACATGTTAACAGGGGAGCGATCCGTCTGCCGGTGATCGATGCAATATTGCACCTGGGTTTCTATACAGCTTAAAGTGGACAAACAACGGGTTAGTATCAAATACAACGAGAATCAAAACTTAGGCTGAGTTGCACCACCTATAACTATAATAACTTTAATGATAACCAGTGCTTTTTGTATGGAGTTTGACAGATTTTTGACGTTTGTTAAATATAAGTAAGATGGTGCGACCCAGACTTAACATTCAAAGAACTACGACTAAATTACTTTGTTATTCATAGATAAAGAGTACTTAAGGGAATTTACTGGACAATTCAGCTGTCTTCATCGTTCATCATACAGACTCTGTAGCCATGTTCCCTCTATGGAACTCTTTTCTGAAAATTTTTATAGGCTTGAGACCTTAGTGTGTTTGAATATTGAAAACCTGCCTCCATTTAACAGGGTTTTAATATTAAAATTACAAGGGACACATTGAAATTTTAAACAAAACAATACGCAATATACATCGTTTATTTTGGTATCACAATAAAACTTTAAACATAAAACTATCACTGGGCAATAAACCAACAGTGGTTAATGTTGTGCGTTAACATCTAGCCTAAAATGCTATCATAAACATCACAAACGTAAACTAAACTGCTATTTGTAATACAAATGTTAATTTACACATAAATTATTTATATAAAATAGTTATGTTATAATCACAGTGCTGCCGATATTTTAAACAACGATATCCTTGCCGAGCCTTTCGAATTCGTTGGCGAAGTAGACCATATCCTTGTGGTCCAACGCAGAGTTTTGGAAAACGATGCGGAAGAAGTTCACGAGGTCACCTTGTGGCTGGTACGTGACCATCATGCTTCCTTCCTTTATCATTCGCTCTTTAATCTTCGGCGCGACCTTGTGGAGCCTTTCTTTAAAGTCGGAGTCGTTTTCGCAGCCGCGCAGACAAGGGGGCACGTACCAAAACATAATATTAGTGCATTCAGGATTTTCCAAGACCAGTTTGAACCCGTCTCTTTGCCGAATGTGCTCTAGGAAATAGCTTGCATTGTCGAAAAGAGTGTCGATGTGTTTTTCGAATCCATCAGATCCTTTCGCCTTCCACATAAACCAGAATTTCAGGACGTCCGCGCGTCTTCCGCACTGGATATGCTTGTCTCCCGTATCGTAACTGGTGTCGTAGAATTTATCCTTCTGGAAGAGGTACTTGGCTTCTGATGAGTGCCCATGCTTCAGGATGTCCTTGTGCTTAATTAAGAAGGTGGAGCACTGTTGCGGAGCGGCCAGCAATTTGTGCGGGTTCCACGTCACCGAGTCGGCCCTGGAAGTTTAAATTGCAAGATAATTTTGCTACCTTCACATTCTGTATAACCTACATTAGTTAACAATGCACTTTATAGCAACTTGTGCTATGCATCGATCTATCCATCAAAAATAATAACGGCGATAGGTACGTGACTACCTATTCACTTAACTAATTTACGTAGCTACATCAAATCCTTAGTTAACGTATTGAGATTAATTTCAATTTAAGTATAGACGCAAAAGGACAATAATTACATAATAAGGCCTTAATATAAAGGCATATACATAGTTTTATATAAATAATTTATATTTTATAGATAAGAAGTGATGACCAAGGTAAATACTTTCAAGGATGTTTTTCGCAATATTCAAGACGCGTTATCGTTCGCAGTTTATACAATAATCGATTCAATCATGGTTATTAGGAACCATGTTTCAAATAATGTTTAAGCGAAAATAAAAGACAATGCAAAATTTTAAAATGTTATCAATGATTCTTGACAAAGTTATTTCAATTATTAAGATTGAATCATAAATAATAAAATACACGGGTTGGAAAAAGTCACTTCCGAAACGAACATTTGATAAAAATAAACAGTTTGCCACCGCGTATCTCTTTAATTCCCTTTACTAACTTTATTAGGGTTTCTCAATCTAGGGTTCATGGACCGAGAGAAGTCTATGGATTAATTAAGTATTATACCTATCTATTGTATGCATTTAAGTCCTCGCAGTTATGAAAAACGAATGGAACTATAAAAGGCACGAATGGAAACTCAGAAGTCGTTCTTAGTGCTTTTCCAAAATTTTTACGTAATTATTTCAAATAAGTAGATCTAATTCCAAATTCATTTATCAAATGCCGAGAACAATTAACTTCTAAAGGAGGCAGATGCTAACACCACGAGTGTATTAAGTGTTTTAGAACTTACTATTTAGATGGTACACATGCACAGAATCTCAATGGATTTCTTCACTAATGCGAAAAAAAAGTTTCTACTCACATTTCGATTCCATTCAATAGATGTCTGTGTTTCCTTGACATCAAAGCACCGCCTCCCCAAGCAGCGTCGACATGCAGCCACAGATTATACTTCTTGCAGAGTGCTGCAATTGGCACCAAAGGGTCAAACGCTCCAAACACAGTAGTGCCAGAAGTGGCCGTCACCATGAATGGGGTCGCTCCATCTTCTATGGCTTCATTGATCTTCTGTTCCAAATCTGTCACGTCCATCTTTCCGTATTTGTCAGCTTTGACGAGAACGCAGTTGTCGTTGCCGATGCCCATGAAAGCTGACATCTTGGGTGTGGAGTAGTGGGCTAGTTCTGACGTGAAGAGCACCAGTCTTGGGACAGCGTATACGCCTTTGCTCTGTAATTGAAAATGAAGAATTAAAAACCTCTGCTTGATGAGCTTGACTGATTGGGTTTTTATTGGTGGTCAAGCTGTACCTAGATCCTGGCTACACAGGAGTAGCAGCGATGGGAACGAGAGGAGGGTATAGTCCCGTTGATTAACTAGTATGGTTGTGAGGTAAAATCACGCGGATTGATTTAAGTGTCACAGAGCTGACAATAAATAGGATCTCGTAACATAAAAGTTTTGCAGGTTAATTTCCTACATAACAAATTAAAACGATTGCATTTTAATTTGTTGTAAATATGTTTAGAATAATATCACACAGTGGTAAGTGAAAGTGCTGTCTACAGCTTGTGTCCTAGAACTTTGCGTTACAATTGATAGTGGCAGTAGATGATGAAAATACACTATGAAATGACATCAGGCAAAAAGGCCTTTGACTATTGAAAGTCAAGGCACTTCGAAACAGTTCACCAAAACTTATTTCTCTATCCGTTATTTCGACCGCCAAAGCTTTCATAGAGTACAAGATACCGTAAAACGATTATCATAAACACCATTCCAAAGCAAGAACATTGAGCATCCAAGAACATAATTACAATTTGATCACAACTTACTTCAAATGAAAATCACGAAATAGAACTCCAAGAAATGTAGGTATTCCGTTTGCCATTAACTTAAACAATCGCTTTGTTTACATAATAATGAGTTCGTCGATCTGTTTTGCACGAGCCTTGGGAAAAGGTCGTAAGTAACGGGTAGCACAAGGTAGTAATTGAGTTACAATTAAGTGCTGTGATCAGTCTTTAGTGATTTGTGTATTTAAGTGCAACTGACGGAATTGAATCGATTAAGCCGGACGAATTATTTTGAGATACATTGTGTCAAGGTCTGATAGGTATTCAGCCGGTTAATTAAGTTTTAACTGGTTTTAGCAATGTTTGTTTATTTTAAAAGAGTGCATCCTAATGTCAAATTATTTCCGGCAATATACATAGGGTAGGGGTACCTACTTGATTTTGAATAATGAAATGAAGATGATTTTCTAAGGCTGGGTTGCACCATCTTACTTTAACCTTGCCAAACGTCAAAAATCTTTCAAAAACATCGGTATCGGTATCGGTATCGGTATCGGTATCGGTATCGCTACCGTCAATATAGCCAATAATAAAATAATTAATGAAATGCTATACATGAAGATAAACAATGGGTGTACTTTATGAACACATTTTCCTGTCACTGACTTCTGCAGTCAATTAGCATAACTGGATAATTACATAAACGTACGTGTCACATCCGATCTACACGCACATTGCGGAACTAATTATGAATTCGATTACATAGTGAAGTTATTACATTGAATTATGCATTTGTGGGTCAAGGTCAAAAGGCTTTTATGTAAAATAATGTTTATGCGAGATGCGATAGGCTATTGTAATGAATTGACGTCAAATTTTGGGTGTCTTTACAATGAAGTACTACTGGAAGTAGAGAAACATTGTAAGTAATGTAATATTTAATTATGTAGATTGCAAGATTAAGGTATACATAAAATATACATCGAGCTGGCTGGTAAATTATGTCCGATCCAAAAAAAAGGACGTCGGATTCTTAATGTTTTATGCATTTTATTACGTTGCAGAATTTTAATGAAGACAAAGTAGACTTTATTAGAGGTTTCATTGGACATAAAAATCGATGAAACCTTTTCATCTTTATGAGATCACAATGAATCTAACACCACAGGACTAAAATTCTTGACGATATTTTAGATTGACCGTTACATTTCTAAAAATCCTTTTGCAATATGAATCTGTCAAGACACTTAAAAAATATTTCATGTGGTAACTTTCAGGTAGTGCATGGCAGTTGCGGGCAATGAATTGATTTACTGATTAGAAGATAAGCCTTAGGAGCTAAGCCACGTGAAGCTTTCATTTTGATC